GTAGTCAGAGAGTTGTTGTTAACGGTTCTAAATCCTGCTGGAAAGGGATAACAAGTGGAGTTCCTCAAGGGTCTGTTTTGGGACCCGTACTGTTCAATATCTTCATCAATGATGTAGATATTGGGATAGAGAGTACTCTTATTAAGTTTGCAGATGATACCAAACTGGGTGGGGTTGCGACTTCTTTGGAGGATAGGGACATAATTCAAAATGACCTTAGCAAGTTAGAGAAATGGTCGGAGGTAAACAGGATGAGGTTTAATAAGGAGAAATGCAAAGTGCTCCACTTAGGAAGGAACAATCAGTTCCATACATACAAGATGGGAAGCGACTGTCTAGGAAGGAGCATGGCGGAAAGGGATCTAGGGGTCATAGTGGACCACAAGTTGAATATGAGTCAACAGTGTGATGCTGTTGCAAAAAAAGCAAATATGATTCTAGGTTGTATTAACAGGTGTGTTGTAAGCAAAACTCGTGAAGTCATTCTGCCGCTCTACTCTGCGCTAGTTAGGCCTCAGCTGGAGTACTGTGTCCAGTTCTGGGCGCCACATTTCAAGAAAGATGTGGAGAAATTGGAAAGGGTACAGAGAAGAGCGACAAGAATGATTAAAGGTCTAGAGAAGCCTATGAAGCCAGGCTTCATGAACTGGGCTTGTTTAGTTTGGAAAAAAGAAGATTAAGGGGGGACATGATAGTGGTTTTCAAATATCTAAAAGGGTGTCACAAGGAGGAAGGAGAAAATTTGTTCCTCTTGGTTTCTGAGGACAGGACATGGAGTAATGGGCTTAAAGTGCAGCAGGGGAGGTTTAGATTGGACATTAGGAAAACATTCCTAACTGTCAGGGTGGTCAAATATTGGAATAAATTGCCAAGGGAGGTGGTGGAATCTCCCTCTCTGGAGATATTTAAGAACAGGTTAGATAGACATCTGTCAGGGATGGTGTAGACGGAGCTTGGTCCTGCCTTGAGGGCGGGGGGCTGGACTCGATGACCTCTCGAGGTCCCTTCCAGTCCTATTATTCTATGATTCTATGATTCTATGAAATTAAAATGTAGTCTAGATGTGCCCATTGTGGATAGTTCTCTGAAAACATCCACTCAGTGTGCAGCGGCAGTCAAAAAAGCAAACCGAATGTTAGGAATCATTAAAAAAGCGATAGAGAATAAGACAGAAAATATCTTATTGCCTCTGTCTAAAACAATGGTACACCCACATTTTGAATACTGCATACACATGTAGTCGCCTCATCTCAAAAAGATATATTGGCATTGGAAAAGGTTCAGAAAAGGGCAGCAAAACCGATGAGGGGTTTGGAATGGGTCCCATATGAAGAGAGATTAAAAAGACTTGGACTTTTAGCTTAGAAAAGAGGAGACTAAAGGGGGATATCATAAGAATGGCCGTACTGGGTCAGACCAAAGGGCCATTAAGCCCAGTAGCCTGTCTGCTGACAGTGGCCAGCACCAGGTGCCCCAGAGGGGGTGGACCGAAGACAGCGATCAAGCGATTTGTCTCCTGCCATCCCTCTCCAGTCTCTGACAAACAGAGTCCAGGGACACCATTTCTATCCCCTGGCTAATAGCCTTTTATGGACCTCCATGAAATTATCTAGCTTCTCTTTAAAATCTGTTATAGTGCTAGCCTTCTCAGCCTCCTCTGGCAAGGAGTTCCACAGGTTGACTACGCGCTGTGTGAAGAAGAACTTTCTTTTATTAGTTTTAAACCTGCTGCCCATTAACTTCATTTTGTGTCCTCTAGTTCTTCTACTATGGGAACTAATAAATAACTTTTCTTTATCGGCCCTCTCCACACCACTCATGATTTTATAGACCTCTCTCATATCCCCCCTCAGTCTCCTCTTTTCTAAACTGAAAAGTCCCAGTTGCTTTAACCTCTCTTCATGGTAGAGGTCTATAAAATCATGATGGGTATTGGCCACTGTCGGAAGACAGGACACTGGGCTAGATGAACTGTTGGTCTGACCCAGTCTGGCCGTTCTTATGTTCATAGGTGCTGTTTTACTGAACCCTCCTGAACTGATAGAATTGATGAATAACCCACTGAACAAATGGCCTCTTCCCAAATAAACCTGATGCAGAAAGAACCTGTGCCTAGTGCTTTCGCAGCACGGCAGATACCTGGGGATAACTGAGTCCTTTTTAGCAGCATGCCAGGTGTGTTCTACCTAGGTGTCCCTGGCACCTTCAGCAGCGTGGCAGGGACATTACAAAAAACTTAATTTAAAATAAAAGTTAATCTTTTAAGTCTCAAACTCTGACTTTGAGGCAATTAACAATTTGAGCCAGACTTGGTACATACGTGGGCTGGATCGACTGGGCCATAGCGCAGGACAATAAAGTCCAAGTACAGACCACAGTGTGTTAACCTCACGTCTGTTGCAGGTTCTGTACCACCCAGAGACAGGAACACTAGCAGCTTCCTTTCCAGTTCCTGCTCCCCACTCTCTGCTTCATGGGGCTGTAGTTTTGTCTGGTAGGGCGTACAAAGAATTGTGCCCGGACAGGCCAAAATGGAGTTCCAGACAGCTCCACAGACTGGCCCAGTCCATCCCCAGCATATGTTATTGGAGACGGATTGAATTAAGGCAATGTGGCTTCTGGATCCAAACTGCAGTGCTGCTGACATTCGGCCAGGCAGTAGCAGAAGAGTGCAAACAACAGGCTGTACAGATCACTCAAGCCAGGTGACCCCTTCAGAGTTAGGGGCCTGGCTGCTGGTCCCCAAGGAGCGTCTCGGTAATGTGTGAGTGTTAGTCCTCGTTCTTCTGCCATCTCAGTCTGTCCCCCAGCTCTCTCTGTCCCATCTTCGTAGCCATGGGAGACCCTGAACACAGCAGGGCTTGCTTAGTTCCACAGAGCAGAGGGGAAGGGCAGGTTCTGGGAGCCAGCACGTGGCTTTGCAGGGTGATGGGGATGGTTGAGAGACAGGACCCTGCCTATCCACCCGGTGCAGTGTGCGCAGGGCATTGGCGATCCGCAGAGGCAGCCGCAGAAGCTGCTTGTTGTGTTGCTCATGGTTTGAAAGAGGATTCGGTCCCACCCCACAGCACCTGGCCTTCCTACCCGACTTGGGGTCAGTGGAATCAGGCTCTGTGCTGGGGACAGGACTTGCCACCAAAGGTGCGTGTGTCCCGCCAGTCATTGGATCTCTGGAATGAGCCTGCTCTGGAGAGGCAGCAGCATTGCACCACAAGTCAATAGAAGAGCAGCAGGGGCCTCCTGCCCAGAGGCAGGTTACGGGGCCCTGTTGATTCCCCAGCAATGGCAGCTCAGCCACGTGCTCTAGAGATTTCGTTTGGCTTGTTATCGTTAACTGAGAGTTGTCAGTGAGCCTGGTGCCAGGGGGGGTCATGTACGCCCCTCCGCCAGCATACACAGACCAGAGTGAAAACCACCAAAAACTGCTGGGGGGGGGGGACTCTATGGCCTGTTCCCTTCCCCTCCCAAATCCTGCAGATGCCCATGCAAAGTGTCCTCCTGCCTTACAGAGAGTCCCTGACACCTGACTCTGAATCCCTGAATTATTGGCACCTAGAAGTCACCATGTCCTACTCTGAGGCTGAAAACTCCTGCCAGTCTGCCCCCTGCTTTTGGGCACCTTAGAATAGAGCCTGTAGGGGCAGATGGTGCTGGAAAACAAGCCCTTCTCTGCCCCTATTCCAGTGTGTGTGGGGGAGTGGAGGGGGGGTTGGTTCACTGTTTACTGCCTACACACCACAGGCGGCATTTTGTAAACGCAGTGTCTGTTCACGAGGGATTTATTGTTTACCCTGGAGCTAGTCTGAGCCTCATTTTGAACAGATCACCAAGATCTTGGGGAAACATCGTATTAGAAAGGAGACCCCTCGTTTCCTCCCTGCCTGCTACAGGTCTCAAGCCATGTGGGACTGGCTTTGCAGTGGAGTCTTTGCATTAACAAAAAGAGGATTACAACCACCTGTAGGCAGGGAATTCTCTCTGGATCGCTCATCTGAGATCCCCTGTGCTCTTTATTTCAGCAAGTTTACACAGTATCAAATGCTTATCTTAACTCCAAGACTGGCCAAACTCGAGCGCCTCTTGCAGGACCTAGTGAGACGTTTCCCCTGAAGTGGCACCTTATAGACTAACTGAAGTGTAGGAGCATAAGCTTTCGTGGGCAAAGACCCACTCCGTCAGATGCGCCATTCTTATTCTGCGCTGCTGCTGGCAGCACTGCCTTCTGAGCTGGGTGCCTGACTACAGTTGCCACTGTCCGACCAGCCAGCCCTGAAGGCCGTGCAGAAGTAAAGCTGGCAATACTGCAGCACCTCCCAAATAATCTTATGACCCGCCTGCACATCCCTTGTGAGAGCCCCTAGTTGTGTGAAATGCTGGTCTCCCCTGTGAAATCTGTATAGCACAGGGTAAAAGTGCACAAAGGATCCAATTTCACAGTCCACAACATCTTTTTCATGGCAGTGAGTTTGGTAGGGCCCTAGATATGATCTAGCCGAGCTCAGTGGCCTTACAGCAGAGAGTGTAACGGAAGGCAGGCAGCAATTTTAGGAGCAGGATATATTTAAATCTTAAGGTTTGTTTTTGCCAACATAGCTACACGTAAGGGCGAAGCAGCGCTTGGAAGCTTCAGGTGCCTGGAGGGTTAGATAAGCCTTCACCAGGCTGAATGATTATCGGTAACCCCTCTGCACCAACCCAGATCTCTTGGGTTGGTAGATGTGTCTGGGAATTTCATGAGCTCAGACCCTTCTGACAACCCGTACTTCCCCGTTCAGAACTGGTCAGGAGAACAGACGAATGGTTCTGCTCTAGCCACTGGCCAGAAATCCTGACTCAGAGACAGGAAGAAATGGAAACGTTGGGACCATTAACCAGACGTCAGTGGGTACCGCACGGGCTGCTTCAGTGCAAGCTTCCCCTTCTGATTGCACCCCGTCCTTCCCCAGCTGCTGTATTTGTGTGTCTAGAAGGATGCAGCACCCTCCCAGGAGTGGCCTTACCTTGTGTAGTTTCCATATCACCTCCACCTGAGTGCAGCAGGGCCGAGGGGGACCTATTCCTCTTTCCCAGCTTGTCCAAAGGGAGATCTTCCACAGCACCCCCTGGGGAGCCAGGGAGGCCCAGCCCAACCTGTAGCATCTCTCTGGGACTGTGTGTGAAATTATATCTCCTCGAGCAAGGAGCTTCTGATGGGCTTGGCTCCCAGGCTGCATTTATTGCCCGAGTCCCTGGAGCGTTAGTGCCCCTGCCCCCACGACGGAGAGACACTTATTTGATGTAAACAACACAAGGGGTGGGGTTGTTAAAAGGCTCCACCTGCCCCGTCGCAGCCCCGACCCGATGGGAGGATGGGCTGTAAATAAGCAACGGGGAGCGATAACAATCGAAACGGCAACAGATCCTTAACCCCAATCTTTTTTTCCCCAAGGGTAAATTTCATTTTGTGTGTTGTTCAACTTATTCCTGACTTCAGTGTCACAAGGAAATTAGAGACAGGTGCCAACTGGAGGGGAGGTGGCGGGAGCGGGGATTTCTCAGCGGACGTCCTCTAGTGACTGTCTGTCCTTGAACTGATGACATATAAACACACACACACCAGATTTCCAGCCGCGTCCTGCTGGATTGTTTGGTTCTTGTTGCAGCCAGAAATAGAAACCTGTGTACAGCAAATGCCAGGCGGCTCGCTGGCCAGGCTGCAGGAAGCAAAGAGGAAAAATAAAATGACAGTCATTTACAGATGTGGGCAGAGGCGCGTTGGATCACTAGCGCGTGGGCTGAAAGGCTCGTCCGGCTTTCGTAACACGAGAGCAATGCTTTGTCGGTAAGGGCCCTGAGCTACGCAGGCCTTGCTAGACAAGGACAGTAGGTGATATTTAAAATCGTGTCAGCTCACCGGATGTGAAACCGTTAAACCAGATCAGCAGGGGAGGGGCTACCCTGGATTCCGTTTTGTCCTACCTGGGGCAAGACCTCGGAGAAGAACTGCACGGCGTTTCCCTGGGGGCTCGATGCTCTCTTACTCTGCACCCTATCCAGTTACTGACGCCCATGTAAGATGCTCCCATTCTCTTTGCAGCCGTGTGGAGCACCCACCTTGCACTGCTATGAATGAGCATACATGGCGCAGGGCAGCGGCTCTGTCATGAGATTACTCTCCCCCGGAAACACCGTGTCAGTAAGAGGGGTTCACCCGTGTCTGGTGTCAGGTTCTGTTCCTGTACAATGACTTGTCCTTTACCAAGGTAATATTCGATACATCCTCCGCACTCCAGAGTGTAGCCTGCTTCCCCCGCCACGATGGATCTGTTGACCTAGTAGGTCTTTTATACACAGTATAATCATTATGCTCAATTCTATCCCCTGGAGCATAAGAACATAAGAGCGGCCAGACTAGGTCAGACCAAAGGTTCACCTAGCTCAGGATCCGGTCTGCCGACAGTGGCCAATGCCAGGTGCCCCAGAGGGAGTGATCAGAACAGGGTATCATCAAGTGATTCCTCCCCTGTCACCCATTTCCAGCCCCAGACAAAGAGATGCCAGGGACACCATCCCTACCCATCCTAGCTAATAAGTATTGATAGACCTAACCCCCCTGACTTTATCTAGTTCTTTTTTGAACCTTGTTAAAGTCCTAGTCTTTACAACATCCTCTGGCAAGGAGTTCCACAGGCCAACCATGCGCTGTGTGAAGAAAAACTTCCTTTTGTTTTAAACCTGCTACCCTTTAATTTCATTTGGTGAGCCCTAGTTCTTATATTGTGGGAACAAGTGAATAATTCTTCCCTATTCACTTTCTCCACACCACTCATGATTTTATAGACCTCTGTCCTATCCTCCTCTCAATCTTCTCTTTTCTAAGATGAAAAGTCCAACATATCTGCCGTGTCGCAAAAACACTAGGCACAGGTTCTTTTTCCATCAGGTTGGGAAGAGTCCATTAGTTCAGTGGGATATTAATCAATTCTATCAGTTCAGGAGGTTCAGTAAAATTGCACCTAAGAATGGCCATACTGTGTCAGACCAATGGTCCATGTAGTCAAGGGTCCTATCTGCTAACTATGGCCAATACCTGTCATGATTTTATAGACCTCTATCATATCCCCCCTTAGTCTCCTCTTTTCTAAGCTGAAAAATCTGAGTCTTTTTAATCTCTCTTCATATGGGACCGGTTCCAACCCCCTTATCAGTTTTGTTGCCGTTTTCTGAACCTTTTCCAATGCCAATATATCTTTTTTGAGATGAGGCAACCACATCTGTACACAGTATTCAAGATGTGGGCGTACCATGTGTGACGTAGTGGGGGTACTTGCTGGGCTGTGGTGACCTCTGCTGTCTGGAGCAAGACCCATCAGGGAAAACCTTATTATGCAAAGGTACCATACCGGTTGAACCAGCCTGCCCCCCATGGGGAGAAACAAAGGGAGGTGGATGCTGCCCTGGCTGGGGGCAGGGCTGGGAGAGGTAGAGTTAGTTCCTGTCTGGAAAGCAGGGGAGAAGGAGCTGGGGAGGGGGGCTGGGACTCCCCAATCTCAAGGGGAGCACTGAGGCCTCGGCTGGGACTCCCCTATCTCAAGGGGAGCACTGAGGCCTCTTAGCCCCAGTTCCTGTAACCAGATTACATCTGTGCTATGCTGTATCCTGGAGGAGCAATAAACCACCCTCAATTCCACTGGCTGGTGGAGTCTGTTTGTGCCATTTCGGGGTGCAGGAGACGGGGGACCCCCAACGCGCTGTCACACCATGCTTTTAGGTAGAGGCATTAAGAAACTTTCTGTCTTATTCTCTATCCATTTTTAATCATTCCAAACATTCTGCTTGCTTTTTTGACTGCCGCTGCACACTGAGTGGCTGTTTTCAGAGAACTATCCACCATGACTCCAAGATCTCGCTCAAGTGATTATAGCTAAATTAGTCCCCATCATTTTTTATGCACAGTTGGGATTATGTTTTCCAATGAGCATTACTTTGCATTTATCAACATTAAAATTCATTTGCCATTTTGTTGCCCAATCACCTAGTTTGGTGACATCCTTTTGAAGTGCTTCACAGTCTGCTTTCGTCTTAATTATCTTGAGCAGTTTAGTATTATCTGCACATTTTGCTACCTCACTGTTTACCCCTTTCTCCAGATCATTTATAAATAGGTTGACTAGGTTTGGCCTCAGGGCAGACTCTTGGGGGTTACCTCTAGTTACCTCTTTCCATTCTGAAAACTGACCATTTATTGCTGTCTTTTAACCAGTTCTCAGTCCATGAAAGGACCTTCCCTCTTATCCCATGAGAACTTATTTTACTTAAGAGCCTTTGCTAAGGGTCCTTGTCAAAGGCTTTCTGGAAATCCAAGTATACTATATCCACTGGATCCCCCTTGTCCACCTGCTAGTTGACGCCCTCAAAGAACTCTATTAGATTAGTAAGGCATCATTTCCCTTTAGAGAAACCATGTTGACTTCCCCCCAACAAATTATATTCATCTGTGTGTCTGACAATTCTGATCTTTACTTGGAGAGAATCATTCCTTCTTTAGGTTCTCCTGAAGCAACACAACAATGCCTTGCCCATTATTGTGGGCTGTGTCCTAGGACATAATTCTGCTACCCTGACTCATAGGGTATGTCTACACTACAAAGTTAGTTCAAACTAACGGACGTTAGTTCGAACTAACTTTAATAGGCGCTACACTAGCGCTCCGCTAGTTCAAATTTAATTCGAACTAGCGGAGCGCTTAGTTCGAACTAGGAAAACCTCATTCCACGAGGATTAAGCCTAGTTCGAACTAGCTAGTTCGAATTAAGGGCTGTGTAGACCCTTAATTCGAACTAGTGGGAGGCTAGCCCTCCCCAGCTTTCCCTGGTGGCCA